TTTTAAAATAATATATTCAAAACAAGCTAAAGTATGTACAAAAATTATTTACACTATAGAATGCCTCCTAGTGGCACAGCGGTATGTCTGCGGACTTACAACGCTAAAATCTGGGCTTCGATACCCGTGGTGGGCAGAGCACAGATAGCCCATTATGTTGCTTTGTGCTTACCTTCAAAACAAACAAACATTATAGGATATCACACTTGTATCTAAAACTCTAAATAATTCTTTTTTCTTGTCAAAAGTCCTCACAAGCTGATTCAATTACTTTAGAATCAAATTGACAAGACGAATTATTTCATTCTATTCTATTTATTACTATACAATCTGCGATAAATTCACTTATGTCACTTAGTGGATTACCACAGTTGGATCTCGAACTTTAAATAATTGTCTCCTTTCGTCAAACTGTGAAACTCACATACAGCTATTATTTGGTAGTAATCGTCTATTTTCGACAGTCGCGTGGCATTTGTCTTTATAGAATTTGGTTGTAGTTCGTTCAATTTTGCTTTGTATTTTTGCCAATCGGCTTTATTATAGTTGTAATTTTGATGAAATATTGGTTTATTATGATGACGGTGAGATCGAAGATACAAAATATTGGAAAATGATCTCTATATATATCGTGGCTGACATGAAACTCTGTACATTTGAAACTTAAGTTGGCAGAAGTTACATATAAATGTAGTATATCACAGGTATTTGTTGATGTACAACAATGTATTGTTGTTTGATCATTTATTAATACCTAGTTTGTATTACACGTATTTAGAAAATTCAGTACTCTAGTACCATTATCGGTAGTACGTTTACATCCGAAACTATATAGTTTCTGTTATTTCTTACAATATTTTCTAATAGATTTGTATCTATTACTCTACTTGGAGATCAGTAGTTTCCAGTAGTAACATCGGTCACTATGCTCTCATTTGTGCTTATGAAGTTGATATCGGCCATATTGTCGATGTGTAGAGTAGGGCGACACCCATATTGGAATCTCTATGATCTTTTCGATCTACTCTAATTGTCGAGTAGCCACTAAATTTTAATGGTGAGTTTTTCGTAGAAAGGGTCTCAGTTATGAATATCATATCTGCACCTATTTCTTTTATTTGTTCTTCGATCTTATGTCTCTTGGAAGCAAGTATACTTTTGATATTCACATGAAGAACCGTGAATTTATGTTAGAGTATTGGAATCAAGTGTTTTGTAGCTAGTGTTATTATGATGGTCATGTAGTTAGTGTTGTTGTTTGGATTTTGAATTTCTGTCATGAAGTCAAGAATCATGTTTGTAACTGCTGTTATGATAGATATTGTTACGACAGCTGGGGTCACGTGACTCTAGTAACACGTCATATTCTCGAACGTTCACGTCCCTTCCTGAAGTCTCGAGAGGCTACTAGATATTCAGTATTCTTATATATATAAG